CCCCAATGCCTCTTTTTATAAAGTAACCAGGAATAGCCAGATGCCGTAATTATGGGTCTCGGAACCCTGTACCAAACGTAAAACCCGTGTCACCGGACCGCATGGTGAGTTGACCTCTGGATTCTTTCCTTCGTTAGATGTTTCGTCATTTATTTCAATGTACTGTAACAATATGTATTGTTGCAGGGTTTTTATGTCTATCTTTGGTACTTGTAATTTAAAATCTCGCCATCAACTGAATGGCTGAGACAAATCTGCTGTAACTTTTGTTCGGCTGTACCCGACCACGTGTCATGAGCTCCACGGGTGGTCGACGTCTACTTGTAACTGCGTTACTCCTGTAGAAACTACGCTGTCTTCGCAGCGGGACTGGTATGTAATTTAAATGTACATCCGGTAAACTCTAGGTCAGTGACGTATAAGTGAAGTGTCCATGTGTCACTCATGTACTTTCAAAAACTCTTAGTGCAGTGTATTAGCTCTAAGTATACTTAAAGGTAATCTTATGTATGTAACTAATAAGGGCAGTAAACATATCCGTACCCTCCCTTTGTAAACTTGGGGGAAGTAAAAATACTAGTTCTCCATACTGTACCCTTAGATTTAATTGTAATATGTAACAAAAACACATTTAAAATAAAGCTTCTGGTTATTTCTACTTGAAACTTGTTTTCGTTGTGTGTAAGGCCTTCGTTCTCCTCGCTTATAAATTTTACACGCAGCATCGGGTCAACCAGAACTCACCCCACAAACCAGTCTCATGCTCACTCAAACCGACTGGAGATGACCATTACAACCCTTTATCGCGCACATATATTCTGATTTTATTATTTACATTAACATGAATATGCGTAAGTAACCAACACAATTTACACTATCATAATTTTAACAATTACAGAAATATTTACGCGGTATTGAAATAGGTATTGAATTCTAGATATTTAAACAAAAGGACACGTATGTACACTAGTTGTAAAAGGTTATGATAACCGAAAATTACCGTCGTAAATTAATTTGATACATTGATCCGTGAGTATTTAGTGGAAAAGAAGTTTAAAATGACATAGATAGATGGATAGGTCCAATATCGATGCCTTATAAAGAGTAATTATTCAGGAGATGGTAACTTTCTATTTATATTAAATTTCTTATCAAGTATGTTAATTTGAATGCGTAGTTTAAAAATAGGTATAACCCAGTATGTGAATATGAAGGAAATGTGATGTGAAATTAGCCCACAAAATTTGTATACACAATCCATTTTTTACATTTCAGTAACATTGTGCTTTAAGATACTAGTTTGAGGAAGTAAGGCGACGATATGTTGGTTCACAGGTTTGCGCGATGCTCCGCTGCAGCCAAGTAAATCCTGTTAGGTTTGTTGTTCGTTTTACGCAGGTAGCCTGTGGAACCGACCTACGCAAAAGTCGTACATTTCTCTCTGCACCCAATACAACAATGCTTTCAGAATCTTGTTGCAGCTGCCGAAGTTCTGTGCGCATCTGCGATGTTTGCTGATGCGAGGACAGACTAATTTTCTGATGTTTTACGGAACTACGTCGCATCTCTTCTTAACAGACTACGTAACAGTAGTAACAGCGTCCTGGAAATGATTGCTGAGAGAATTAAGGGACCTCTCATAAGGCATCTATCCAGGGAATCATCTTTCATTCAGGGACGTACTGCCACCACATCTATTTCTGCCGCCTAGCAGTACTGTGTTCCGGTTTTGAAGGGTAAGGGTGCTGGTGAAATTACAGGCATTTGGGACTTGTCAACTTATGTCTCAGGATGACGGGTGCAGTGGCAGTGTCCCACAGATCTTCTTCGTCTCGTCACGTGATAATATAAAAAAACAATTCACAGATTTTACTTGATCGTTGTTTAAAATAATGTACTAACATAGTATATAAGTCTGTTAGTAATTTAAAAATTTACCTTGTCCGAAAAGAAATAAATAAGTTATAATTAATTCTGGCTTTATTATCTATTTAAAGTAGACTTATAAGCAAGTACATATTTAACTTCATATCATAACATAATTTTAACATTTTACTATAATATTAACGAGGTACTTAAACACGGATTTTTTAACAAATATTTTAACGAAACGACACATATGTACATGCAATAACATTTGAGTATATAAAACGCTCCCTGGAGTACTAAATATCGCCAAACAAATTCCAAGATGGCTACATTTACTTTTATCTTTCTATTTGCTGTTGTAGCGGTTATTGCTATACCAGAGTTTCAGTATGATTTAGAAAAAGCTGACGAATACTTTCAAGCCTTTATTGAGAAATTTGGAAAATAATATGGAAATGAAGATGTAAAGGCACAAAAATTCGAAGTGTTTAAGGAGTCACTAAAGATGTATAACAAGATGAATTTGGAACAATTGAGTGCTAAACTTGGTATGTTATTATCACTTTTTTATAATAACATGGTTATGTTTATATCACTATTAAACATCAAGCGTTGGTTACAAAGGTGTATTTTATGTAAAGACTCCGATTTAAGTATTTGTTTAAGAATTGGTATTTTTGAAGTTTTATAGTATGTTTATCTTATAACGAGGCCGCCATTATGAGTTGCCTTTCTTTACCTTTACCTTTCTAACTGTGTTAACAGGGAATGTAATGAAAAACTTTAATTTTTTTCCCACATAGTTGTGTTTTTTTGATATTATGTAGGCAGCAAACAAGCATACGCCTGTTGGAAATCGGTCATCGTCGCCTATGAACACCAGGAGTGTTTAAAGCGCGTTGCCAACCCTTTAGAAACCTTTTCAAACCAGTTTTGACTCCATGATAGGAATGCGCCTACACAGAAAAAAAGGATTTCTACTAATAAGAAAGAGCAATTTCTCGAAATATTAGCAAATTTTGAAAAATAATAAATTTATTAAAAGTAATAAAATATTGGCATTACAAAAATACTGCTTAACTTTTTGTAATACAATTTTACTCTTAACTTTATTCTAACTTTTAGACAAATACGTTCACTTCAAGATTTTATTTCATTTCTAATCAATTAATTGGACATTACTTACATGAAGAAATTTTTACCTCTTACATCAAGTTTAAATAATCTTAAATGAATTCAAAATTTCTTGGGTGTATTATATATAAGAAAATATATTCTTAAACAAAAAAAGAAGTAGTTTGCTATTCCATTAATATTCTAAATTCTAGAGTATATTCTTAAAGCAACATTTCGTTGCGTTTTCATAGTCAATATTGACGTGACATGTCGCTGAAGGCGCACGCAGTAGCGATTACTTTTACTTGTGCTTGTAATCATAAAAATCATAAACAGTCATTTATATAATAAACAATACGTTGTATCTCTAGTTTGTTAGGGTGTTATTTATAGTCATAATTTAAGAAATTTGGTTTCAGCATGAAATCAAACTACACTTGTAACAAGCACAACTTTAACGTGCAATTAGTTCCATCACGGCACTGCTAGATGGCATTAGTTGTACGCTGAAACGCGCTATCGTTTTGTTAACTTCAATACTATAAAGTCATCTCATATATTTGGAATTATTAGTGCTTTCTGCCGCTGTGGCATTTATACGGCACTGAATGGTCCTCAAGTGTTTGAGAAGATTTAGTCCTATTTCTGCTACTTTAAGGTTTGGCCTTAGAATAATAACGCATAGAATGATAGTTTCATATCAAACGAACTGTCACAAGTGAGGCAAAAATCAAATTCATGTAGGCTAGTTGTAGTAGTAGGTTAATTTTCGGTTTTAGTGAATATTTATATAAAAATACAAGTTGAAACGCGTTACTTCCTTGTGGAATGTGATGTTAGTATCTATTTTATGTTTGTCTGACGTATTTTTACGCTCATTTACCGCACAATTCGTCATTTTTAGCTAAAATTCTTGATCTGTTCGCGGTGCAATTTGACCTTGAGTACTGAAGGCCCGCCCGCTCGTGTAGGCCCTTTGGGCGCGCTTCAATTTGCTTCACTTAGCGTGTGCGGACTAGGTTTCTATGCGTTATTATTCTAAGGGTTTGGCACTAAATTGTGTGCTTTCACGCTATTCAGACATACTGTTGGGTCCATAACCCTGTAAATTTACCCTTTTTAATATTAGAAAACATAAATCTTCAGTCAAATATCGAGTTCTTAGGTTTTCGCGATTGTTACACATAGGAAATGAAACTATTTTTCCGGATTTAAATCCGGATTTAAACCTGAAGAAGTTGAAGACTGTACCACCTCAGTCAACCGTGACCATGGGACCTGTAAAGGGCCCGAAACGTCGGTTTGTTTGAAAAAACAAATATACGCGATTTAAATCCGGAAAAATAGTTTCATTTCCTTCAGTCAAATAATTAAGTACCTCTCAATTTTTCGTTTTTTTTTTCAAATCATAATCAGATATTTCTAATAACAAATAAATATTTTGTTGAATCTAGAGTGGCTTTGTGACTTGAAGTAAATTAATTTGCTCTTGGATTAAATATTCTGTCTTATAACTAAAATACATTTTTGTGACTTTTTTTACTATTATCAAGTAATTATTCTCTAGCGTCTATAGGGAGAGGACCGTTTTGTTGGATTTAATAAATTTGTCTTCATAAAGAGAACTTCCGCTAAGAACTTGTCGTTTTCTAAGTAATTTGTTTTTATCGTGTACGGGAAAACCCCGACAGGGAATTCATTTCACAACCAAATTGTACGTGGGAGGGAGCTCGTCTGAAACCGTACAGTACAAGATCGACTAGATTCCAGAGTGTGAGAATGGCCTCCCTGCCGGTGGCGAGGGATGCGATGATAGAAGGTTGCTGTTGGCTTCATGTGTAACAGTTCTTCATTAACCATTGTACAGGCGATAGAACAGGCATAAGGATGAAAAGGTGGTTTAATATCGTCTGTAAGCACGGGATCGTCAACAATTACGATGTGCAATTGTATCTTATCCCAGAGAATGCGACACTTAATTTATTTAATATAACAGCTACAATACCAGGCTATTTTTTATACCTTCTGTTTAGGTATTCATGAACACTCAGACTTAACCAGAGAAGAGTTAAAAAAGTTGGGAGGTAGCTACCGTCGTATGAGCGGCAAGGATTGCACGACTCGGGGAGCACCAGCAGTAAACCCACCCGAAGCATATGACTGGCAACTGCAAGGTTCCATTGTCACTCCTGTGAAGGCCCAAAAGTGCGGAGATTGCTATGCCTTTTCTGCTACAGGTAAAATAACAGTATGAGCTGGAAGACGATTATTTTCTTCTTTTCAACGGCGCATTTGTCCTTAAAATGTCTCAGTACAGATTACTAAAAACACCGACGTCAATAGTTCGTGGAATTACATCTATTTGCCAAGTTTTATTGAAATTTGTTCGAGTTATGAAAATTGTTCTTTGAAGGGCAGTTTCATAGATTGTATGTCTTTGAATAATTTTTAAACAGCATGCAATGGTGTTCTTGACCTTGTTTTAAGCAGCATGCCAGACATTAAGATTTATGAATGTACTAGACCACTGCAAAATATTGACAAACACCATCCCCCTTTGGACATAGAAATTGAAATCACTACAATTCCTAATAAACCTTATAAGTCAAACATAGAACTTAAATCAAACTTTCATAAGGCTGGCTCATTGGGATGTAAGGGGGCACACACCATCACAGCTCTTATTGTCAACCTCACCTGCACGCGGTATGTCCTGCAGTAACCGACGAGGCTCTGGCGACCGGTAGTAGGCGGTATAGCCCTTCCCCACATTGGCGCTGTCAAATCTGCTGGCTACCGACGGGCAGCAGCATCGGTAGTACAAAGGCAGCGCCCTGCGATCTCCAACCCGCATGCCCAGCGTGGAGATTATGGGCAATAACCCCCTTCATGGACGGCACAACCAATCGAAGGCCCCCAGTTCCCGGTCGCCCCGCTATTCCTGGTCACGGTAGCGGCCATGGTACCGGCGGGGTAGGGGGTGCTAAGAATCCCCGGGCTACCGCAGGCTACCAAAAACAACTGACCCTGGCTACGTTTAACGGACGAACTCTTAGGCTTGACGAACACCTTGCACAGTTGGAAGTGGAACTGGAGAACATTAGATGGCATGTTCTGGGGCTGTGTGAAGTCCGAAGAGAGGGAGAGGACACCATAACCCTAGACTCGGGCCATCTACTGTACTTCCGCGAGGGTGATCAAACATCCCAAGGTGGTATAGGATTCCTCGTCAACAGAGTCCTCTCTAACAACGTTGAAGAGATCTCCAATGTGTCGAACAGGGTAGCGTACCTGATCCTTCGGTTATCAAAAAGGTATAGCCTGAAGATCATTCAGGCCTACGCACCGACCTCGACACATTCGGATGACGATGTAGAAGATATGTACGAGGACATATCGAAAGCCTTACACAACACCACCAAGGCTCACTTCAACGTTGTTGTGGGGGACTTTAACGCTAAAGTGGGATTCCCAAATCTTGACGAGTCTCGAGTCGGCCCGCATGGTTATGGAGTAAGGAATCACAGGGGGCAAACGCTAGTCAACTTCCTCGAGCACGAGGGGCTCTTCTTGATGAATTCGTTCTTCAAGAAGAAGCCTCAAAGGAAGTGGACTTGGCGAAGCCCCGACGCTGTGACTAAAAATGAGATCGATTTCATCCTGACGGACAAGAGACACATATTCAGAGATGTCTCAGTGATCAACAGGTTTAGCACCGGATCTGATCACCAACTTGTACGAGGCTCTCTGAATATCGATGTCAAACTTGAAAGAAGCCGCTTGATGAAGTCCACGCTCCGTCCTAATCCACTCCAGATCATGGCGGGCTCCGAGAAGTTCCATGAACTTCTCGAAGCGAGATTCGTCGAGCTGGAACCCACCGAGGACGTTGACGAGGCCCTACAAGGCGTGGTTGGGACGCTGAGAAGCGAGGGCATCAAATTCTGTCAATTGCAGCGTACGGGAAAGAAGTCAAAACTCTCGGATGAGACTCTGCGACTTATGACGAAAAGACGCGATGACATCCAGGCCACTTCGTCAGAGAGGTCATACCTAAACAAGCAGATTGCGAAGATGGTACGGCGTGACCTTCGGAGCTCCAATACACGCCTCATTGAGGAGGCGATAGAGCGAAACCGAGGGTCTAAAGTATTCACTCAGCAGCTTGGAAGGAGCCACCTGACGAAGCTTACAACGCACGATGGCCTAACCGTTACGTCAAGGCAGCAGATACTCGCCGAGATAGAGGACTTCTATGGCCGTTTGTACGCTGTAAATGCTCCTCGGGTCCAGCGTGACAATCACGATTTGAGAGCTACCTTGACGCGCCACTATACCGACGACCTGCCAGAAATCAGTCAAGACGAGATCGTGTTGGCTCTAAAACAGCTTAAAAATGGAAAAGCCCCCGGTGAAGACGGAGTTGCTTCGGAGCTTTTGAAGTCTGGAGGAGTTCCTATTATCCAGGAACTTCAGAAGCTCTTTAACTTGGTCATTCACTGCGGGAGAACTCCACGGGCGTGGAACAGGAGTATTGTAGTTCTCTTCTTTAAAAAGGGAGATAAAACTCTACTGAAAAACTACCGACCCATCTCACTCCTGAGTCACGTCTACAAGCTGTTTTCTAGAGTCATCACGAATCGCCTCGCAAGAAGACTCGACGAGTTTCAGCCACCGGAACAGGCCGGGTTTCGGGGAGGATATGGCACCATAGATCACATACACACAGTGAGGCAGATTATACAGAAGTCCGAAGAGTATAATCGGCCCCTGTGTTTAGCTTTCGTGGACTATGAGAAGGCCTTTGACTCTGTCGAAACCTGGGCTGTCCTGGAATCCTTACAGCGGTGCCAAGTGGACTATCGTTATATACAAGTGTTGAGATGTCTTTACGATGCTGCTACCATGAGTGTCCAAGTACAGGACCAGCAGTCTGAACCTATCCAATTACGCAGAGGGGTGAGACAGGGGGATGTCATATCCCCGAAACTGTTCACCGCTGCATTGGAGGATATGTTTAAGACGCTGGACTGGAAAAGGATGGGCATTAACATAAACGGCGAGTACATCTCACACTTGCGATTTGCAGATGACATAGTCCTAATGGCAGAATCGCTGGAGGAACTGGATCAGATGCTGAACAGCCTAGCATCCGCCTCGCGGCGGATTGGTCTTGGCATGAACTTTGATAAAACCAAAGTCATGATCAATGACCACATTGATCCGAGACCCATCTGCGTCAATGGCCACCTTCTTGAAGTTGTTTCCGAATACACTTACCTCGGGCAGATTCTGCAGTTAGGTAGAAATAACTTCGAGAAGGAGGCCAGGAGGAGGATTCAGCTTGGCTGGGCAGCGTTTGGGAAGCTCCGTCGAGTCTTTTCGTCACCCATCCCGCAGAGCTTAAAAACAAAGGTTTTCAACCAGTGCGTCCTACCAGTTCTAACGTACGGAGCTGAGTCGTGGACACTCACGATACGGCTAGTCCACCAGTTTAAAGTCGCTCAGCGAGCTATGGAACGAGCTATGCTCGGAGTTTCTCTGAAAGATAAACTCCGTAATGAGGTTATCAGACAGAGAACCAAAGTGATCGACATAGCTCTTCGGATAAGCAAGCTGAAGTGGCAGTGGGCTGGACATATCTGCCGAAGAACCGACAACCGCTGGGGTAAACGAGTTCTTGAGTGGAGACCACGACTTGGCAAACGTAGTGTGGGACGCCCTCCAGCCAGATGGAGTGACGATCCGCGGAAAATTGCTGGCAGGAAATGGATACGTCAAGCCGAGAACAGGGCGAAATGGCGTGCATTAGGGGAGGCCTATGTCCAGCAGTGGACTGCAATAGGCTGATGATGATGAAGGCTGACTGTGATGCTATTAAGCTACAACTGGGTAAAATTGACTGGAATGATTTATATGAGCGGTGTGTCGATGTAAATGACATGGTTGAAATATTTTACAAACATTTGGATATAATTGTTAAAGAAGGAATACCATTATCTTACAAGCCTAAATTTAATAAATATCCAGTCTGGTTTCCAGCCAATTTCGATAAATTTACTAAAGCTTAAATACAAGTAGGTATCATGTTAAATTCTAAAAGTATAAGAATCGCCTTGACAAAACTAAATTTGATTATTTGCGCGAAGAGTTACAGAAATTACATTCAATCAATAGAAACGTTAATATTCAGCAATCCTAAGTTTTGCTGGACACATATTATAAATGAGCGTAGGAATGGACACTACAGGATATAAAGGAAGTGAGATGTGTAATCTATTTGCTACCTATTTTTCTTCCGTGTATGAAGTAGATACTGGTGGTAATGTTGATTTAGATGAAGTGAGCATGATAGATGCTATTCCGGGCTTAGTAATTGAATCTCACTGTTTAGAATTAAAGCTCAAGCATTTTGATCTAAGTAAGGGTTCAGGTCCTGATAATTTTCCGCCTGTCTTTTTTGCAAATTATGCTGAACAGCTAGCAGTCCCATTGACCATTACGTTAAACTAGTCTGTCAGGAATATTTCCTGATTCTTGGAAGCATGCTAGGATTGTGCCAATTGACAAAAATGGAAAAAAGGACTTGGTTACGAATTATAGGCCTATTTCTTATTCATATTATTCATCTTAGCAAAAGTCTTTGAGTCAATAGTATATAGTCATTACTTTAGGCATGTCAAGAATAAACTATCACCAAATCAGCACGGATTTATTACGAAGCGATCTAAGGATACAAATCTATCCCATTACATAGATGATGTAGTATTGGCAGTCGATAATTCAGGACAAGTAGATGCATTATATACCGAGTTTTCCGAGGCTTTCGATAAAGTTAATCATCGCATTAGCTCCCTTATTCACGTTATTAGGGACTCCCTACTTCAGTGGTGTCAATTATATTTGAATAAAAGCTGTTCTAAAGTTGTAATTTGACGATTGTAAGACAGAGTTGTAATAAAATCAAATAAATAATGAGTTCTTCGGTTTTCGGGATTGTTACACATAGGAAATTAAACAATTTTTCCGGATTCAAATCGCGTATAATCGCGAAAAATTGTTTCATTTCAAATAAATAAATTCAAATCCTTTTACTTCACGCCCTGGAGTGCCGTGCCGCAAGGTTCAAACCTTGGACCAGTATTCATCACTATATTCATTATGGACATTAATGACACTATTTAAGAATTCGAACTACTATTTGTATGCTGATGATCTTAAAATAATGCGTGTTATTAAAAGTCTCAATGATGCGATTTGTTGCAGGCCGATATTGATAGACTCGTTGGTTGGTGTCACATTAATAAAATGTATCTGAATCCGTGTAAGTACTTCCATATTAAGTTCACATTAAAACGTAAACCTCTCAGTACCCAGTACGACATCTCAGGTGAAACTCTCGACGCATTTTCTAAGATACGAGACTTAGGTGTAGTGGTGGACTCTAAGTTTAAATTTTTGACAGTATGCTGGCCGCTGCAATCAAATCACTAGGATTTATTCTTAGACATGGAAAGGAGTTCACTACTACCTTATTACTACCTTATTGCCTGTGTCAGAAGAAAGCTTGAATACTGTAGTGTTGTGTGGTCCCCGAAATATCGAGTCCATGTTGACAGAATTGAGAGAATCCAAAGAAGGTTACTACGACACCTGGCTTCAGCTTCAGGCCGCCTCATGAATCCGGTTTTGCGTACTTTCCGATAACTAATTACAATAAAACTTGGCAAATAGATGTAATCCATGAACTTTTGAGGTCGATTTTTTTAGTACTCTGTACTTAGATTACATTTTAGAACAACGATATCAAAGTACCTAACCATATTTTTGTATAGCTAATATAGAAAGTCAGTATGCAAAGAAATACGGTAAATTGGTGGATCTCTCAGAACAGCAGATGCTAGACTGTACTACGGTCAAAGATAGTTGCTCCGGAGGAAGTATGTTACATGCTATACAGTGAGTAGTTTTTCATAACATAATATTATACCGCACTCTCATATTCATGTACGTACAATTAAATCTAAATTCTATACAATATGAAAAAGAAACAATACAGTTCTATCGCGTTTGTAATTAGTTTTAACATTATTTGGTTGTTTTTTTACACAATTACTTTTTGAATTTCGTTTTTTTATTATATTTTATTGGCTTGATATGTTAGTAGTTACATTAATATTATATCGCACTAACAAAACGATGAAAATCGATTTGTAAATGTTCAAAGAAATAACGTACCTCCAAATATGTTTTATAAATAAATTTTATAATACCTACTATGATATGAAAACTAAAATAATTAATATGTATTGCTTTTGGTACGTTTTTTATATTTATTTATTATGGAAGGTGAGATGTGTTCATTTTGATGATTCTTTTTTGTTGGAAAGAGGGTACCTCAATATTAGTCCCATTTAAATTTGTAAAAAATATTCCACCTCTAAAGGTGCCAAAAAGGGGGTGAATCCGGTTTCGCGCACTTTACGGTAACCGATGTCATTAAAATTTGGCAAATAGATGTAATTCCACGAGCTTTTGAAGTCGGTTATTCTTATAAAAAGTTACAATTGTTAATAAAGACGAAGTTGAGACTTTGATTGTTCATTTTAACAGTTATACAGGGTGGAAATTTTTAATGCCACCTGGAGGGAAAGTACTCTAAATACTGGAGATAGAAATATTTACCTAAAGGAAACATTCCCTTATTTTTTTAAAAGAAATAAAACTGCATTCATAGATTATCGAAAATTTCTAGCAACACGCGGGTATCGAACCCGCTTTAATCTGAAAAAAATGCACCCTGCACTTTTATTGCATCGATCGATAGGGTTAATTATAAGAATAATAATAACGCACACGCACACACTCAACATAGCCCCGCACTAGGGAAACCCTGTGTCGCGGGTGCCATGGACACACACATAGACAACCACAAATTACACCCAAACTCACGAGAGAAATAATTGTAGGCCATACAAATATTTCTCCCGGCCCGGGAATCCAACCTGGGACCTCTGCGTGGCAGTCCGGTATGGTAACCGTTCGGCCACGGAGGCAGTTTATATATTATATATAGAATTAGTTTATATATTTATATATAGAATAAAATCTCTCTCACAAAATTGGTTAATTAAATTTAAAAAAAAAACCATGAAATCTTATTGTATTTTAATAAAACAAAAAAAATAGGAAATCTAGCTATTTAGTTGCTCGAAATGAGCTCCATTTTCTTTACACAATTCATTCAATTCATTTTGAATAACGTGTTGTGATGAATTGTATTACAAATCGTATTCTGAACCTCAGCCTTCAACTGTTTTACACTCGCATAGGATTTAAGAAATGAGTTAAATGTTTTATCCGAGGAAGAGCGAAATCAAATAATTCTGCAGTAAGATGGCGCTCCAGCCCATAAGTTTTAAAACAAGAATGTTTCCTTTAAGTAAAAATTTCTATCTCCAGTATTTAGAGTACTTTCCCTCCAGGTGGCATTACAAATTTCCACCCTGTATACTCTTGGAATTGAATAATTCCTTTTTCGAAAAAACATTTTTTTCGAGTTGGTTCGGGGATTTCGTCGACTAAGTAATACTCGGCTAAATAAAAAAACAATGTCAAGTATGAAGCTTCCTTCGCATCATGCATCTATTAATCTAGTAGAGTATTACTTAATTTGACTGTAATTATTTCGGACGTATAACAGGAATAGACCCCCAGATCTGAGTGTCCTGGTTTGGTATAAACAAGATGTTGTTATTAATATAATATTTCAAAGCAAGTAGTTTCGCATAATACTGGTGTTTTAATATTGTCTCGCCTTGATTGGCAAAATAACATTCGATTTCAGGAGAATAATGAACATGGGTGGACAAATGAGCCTAAAGGACTACCCATACAAAGGCGTCCAGGGCCAATGCTTATTCAATGCAAGTAAAATACAGGCTAAAGTGACCGGTTGCGAAATTTATAATCTCACAAATGAGGATGATTTGGTCAAAGTGCTTTACAATCAAGGTCCAGTTGTCGTAGGTATGTTAAGTAGGAATGAAATGTCAGGTTTAATTTGTTTTTATCAAATACTTAGGTAAACGCTATAAGAAAGATAGACGCCTTGGAAATGTGGTGCTGGAGAAGAATGTTTGGGGTATCGTGGACAGAATTTCTTTCAAACGTCTCCATTCTACAAGAACTCGGCATCAAACAGCGTCTGTCTGCTGTGGTGCAAACTCTCTGCATGAAATTTTTCAGACACGTCTCAAGACGGAGCTTTGACTCCGTAGAGCGTCTTGACGTGCCGGGCAGAATGTCACCCGTGCGATGAGCGGACCAAATAAAGTCTGTATTTGTCGGTGCTTTGAATGAATGCACAAACAAGTCCACTAAGAGAGAGATGACCACGACCGCTCTGTTAAGAGTCTAACGAAAAAAAGAAAATATGGTGCACAACAATAATTTTGAAAAATTTTCTTATGAATCTCCTTGTTCAGAAATATATTTAATGAATACAAAGACAAGGAATGTTTCTATTAGCATATTTTTAGCTTTTATTAAATATGTCGATATACATGTGAATTAAACAGACATACAAAACACTCGTCATTACTAAATTTTTTGCTACTTTTATTGTTACCTAGATCTAGAAAATCGGGTTAGAAGTTGCTTCGTAAATGTGTTTTGTGTGTGATTTAATTTTTCCTGTAAGTTTTCCTGTTATAATAATAATAATTTTGATAATACCTCTATACTTGGTTGGGGTAGCGATAGGTTTTTGACCTAGGGTGCACTATAAGTTTCTGGAACTGGTCACTTACATAAACAATATTTAAAAAGTAATTACAACATTTGAAAATGGAACTCTTTGGCTGTTAATACAATTTGTTTCATCTGACTATCACTTGTTTTTATATTGTGGCGCCATTTTAGAAATTGGTTGTCTACATCACCATGGATTTAACTCGTGCTAATTTTCGTAGTATGATTTTCTACGGCTTTAAGTGTAATTTAACAGCTCAGCGGAGCTTCGCTCGGCTTCAAACTGCTTTTGGCGATGAAGCACCATGCAAAACGACTATTTATAGTTGGTTTGCAGAATTCAATTCAATTAAAAAAAAAAAAATTCGTGTGAATCTCAGTAACGAATTTCGTGATGGTCGCCCGTCCACTTCTGTGAACAACAAAAACATCGATGCTGTGCGCCGTATAATCAAAACAGACAGGCATTTGACATAGCATGGGATTTGGGCATCTTTAAGCGTAGGTATGAGTAAAATACAATCAATACTACACAAACATTTGGGTATGAAAAAGCTGTGCTCTCGGTGGATCCCACACAATTTGACTGAGGCTCAAAAAATGGATCGCGTCTCTTGGTGCAATACTATGCTTACCAGATTGACAACGAAGGGGCGTCAAATTTGGTGTGGGACATATCAACAGGTGACGAAATATGGATTTATAGTCACGATCCCAAAACAAAGCAACAATCGAGCGTATGGGTCTTTCGAGATGAGCCGAAACCAACCAAAGTGGCGCGCGTGCAAAATGCCTCTAAGCGGATGATTGCTTCTTTTTTTAATAGAACTGAACACGTGGCTACTATTGCTTTGGAGAATTATTGTACCGTGAATAGTGATTGGTACACGTACCGTCAGCTATTGACAAACTCCGTAAAAATAACCATAAACCTCGTATCATCTTGCACCACGATAAAGTTATTGCTCCCACGGCCAGACAGATAAATGAATTTTTGAAAGTGAACAACGTTGATCTTATGAGCCATCCCGCGTACAGTCCCAACCTGGCACCTTGTGACTTTTATTTATTTCCAAAAATTAAGAACTAATTACTCGGTCAACGATTTTCATCACCTGAAGAGGCTGTCGAAGAGTATGAAAAATATGTTTCAGAGACTGTCACGGAGTAGTGGCATAAATGTTTTCAAAATTAGTTTATTAGTATGAAAAAGTGCATTAACGCTAACGGAGAATATTTTGAGAAACAATAAATTCATTTCTGATCATTTATAGTATTTTTTTCTTATTCGTTCCGGAAACTTATAGTGATAAGATATAGTCGTTAAAGCGTTGTCTATAATATTTGTACTATGTGCTGTCTCGCTATCTTTTTTCTTCGTTGCCACATTCGATTTTTTTAGCAATTTGCTTAATAATTTAACAAATTCCAGGCATTGATTATCGAGATTTGCGTCCATACCATAGTGGTATCTTACGATCATGCTCGTATGAGATAGGCAATCACGGTGTGCTTCTGGTGGGCTACGGAGTAGGTAAGTTTGTACCATTGTAACCAGTGATCAGAATTAAGAAAGTTTATTTACTAAGAGTCGATACAACCTCAAATGGCTTTGGTTGATTCTGTATAACAGTGAAAGTGTTCAATCAAATCAATCAAAAAAATATATAGTAAAATTGAGTGAAAACATAATTCCCAAAAAACTTACATCGAAATTTTACAAGAAACCTATTTACAATGCCAATGTTTTTTTTTAAACCAACTGAACTAAATAGAACACGTATAGTACCTATACGATATACATTTCCAAGTGGTTTTAATTGCGTTTGTAAAAAAATAAATTGTGATATAAGCCAGTATACCTGCCACTCGACCTGAGCAAAATGAACCGTAGAAGTACAGGAAAAATCTGAATTCGGGCTGAGGTAGTATCAACTCTTACACTATGAATGTTTTCTTAGTATGGACATACCCGTTTCGTCATCAATGCGTATAAAATTTCTTTTTTTGACTGTTTATTTTCTAAACATTCCTAAATGTAGGTTCTCATTCTTTATTTTTTAGATGACTAAAGTATTTAAATACGTATGTACCTATAGAAATACATTTACAATATTATTTTTTGAGACAGTAATTTGTAGCAAATAATAAGAAATAATTTGTCGCGAACGTACTCAAATTTCAATAAATAATACACATATTCTATTTGTAGAAGGGAATGTCCACATCATTCTTTAGACCTAAATAAATTCCCTCGATTTCGATCACTGATTATAACTAACTTAAAGTCCTGTTAAAAGATTAAAGTTAATTTAGCACTAACTAAATACTAGCACTACCTCCAATTGAAAATGTTGCCTTTAGGTCATAAATCATTTGAATAAATGATGCGTTTGTTTTATGCGAAGTGCCGGGACGAATTAGTCTTACGCCTGTCCATAACAGTTGCACTGCTATTCTGAGACATAAGTTGAAAATTCCCATCTGCCTGTAATTTCAGCATCCTTACTGTAAGAATCCGCGTTATATAATGACTGCAGGATTTATATTGAATTATAAATAAAAAAATTTATTGTAATTATAAAATATACTGAAAATGCAAAAATGACATGAAAGGAAGAAAAACAATTGTGATTAAACAAAAGAAACAAAAATAAATAAATTGCAAAGGAATAAAGAAGTATTGAACAAAAAAGAAATTGTATGTCGTTGACACTTACCCTTAAAAACCGGAACACAGAAATGTTGGCATTACTGCTTGGTGCCAGAAGCAGGTAAGGTGGCAGTAGGTTCTACCCTGGACGAACTCTTTTACAAGGAGCTCTACTGCTACTAAATGCTTTTATGTCACTCATTGCTCAGAAATTCTAAATTCCTTGTCTATAACCATAACAAGTAAAATATGTATTTACTCAATGACAAATTGAATTATTAATTATTTAGAAAACAATATAAAGTTTTGGAGGTTCAAGAACTCTTTTGGAGCGGGTTTCGGCGAGGACGGCTACTTCCGGATTGAGCGCGGTAATGATTTGTGTGGCGTCATGGACGATGAACTCAGCTCTGCTATTGTTGCCTAATTTTCACAGCATTCGTGTTTTATATACCATATACACGGTTGTAAAAATTATCAAAATGATTGTTCTTTTCTCAGTTATGTATCTTGCTACACAAGTTGTAGTCTTTTAGAACTTGTTTGATTCTTATATGTATATTATGGAATATAAAATTTGGATCTATTACAACATCTTTATTGTTTTTTTATTAATTAGTATAGATTTTGCATACATATGTATCTATAAACTGCTGTTTAAACTGCCCATGCAATTTTACATTCTATGTAATAAATTACTTTAGTCCGTATTTTATGACTTTACAAATAATTAAACAAATAAATTAATTAAAGCAATGGAGTTTTCTTTTAATAATACGGCCTTGGTAAGTATTTTCTTGTGTCGTTTTCAGGAGCAAATGGGATCAGTTGCATAAGGTAACGGGACAAACCATATAGAAACGAAAGTATGAAATAAGCCAAAAAAAGAACTAACGTGTTCTACTTCATTTCATGTACTGAACTGACATGTATTGACCGAATGATAAAACGTGGAGACCTTTTAGGTAAAGTATAAGCAAAAGGGGATATTTTATGCAAATTTGCACCATTCTCGTCCAAAAAGTCATGTTAGAGTTTATCTTTTAAAATATTTACCGGTGAGGGAAAGAGGGAGGCGTAATTAAATCGTGTAATTCTATCGCACACTCTCAAGGCTCCACTAATTCCGAGTCACCTATAAGCCTCTTTGCACGGTTGTCAATTGAATCCAAGGTGGCCAGTACTCCGTGCACGACCGGACCTGTGTTTGGTTCAGCTGAAGCAAATTTTAAAGTAACGTCTCACCCTGGAAAGGATGCCAAGCTTCCTGCTGCATTTTTGCCCATGGATTCAATGTATCTGCCGAAGTTCAAATTGGACAACAGGTCCATTTCTAGTAACTGGAGACAGTAAGTTACCAGTATGGATATATCACGAAAACTCAGTCAGCTCAAAGAGACTCCGTTTTGTGGAGAATAGCCTGCGTTTGGATAGCGTTAAATTTGACAAGATTGGCATCACCCCAATCGGAGACTGCCTTGAGTGTCAAATCCAAACGGCTAACAATGGACTCTCGACAAGAATATATTTCCTCTCCACTGACCCTTGCATTGGTCACGTATCTATCTACGACTGTGCTGTCATTGATATGCAGCAGAAAGAGAGTTGGAGACAGTACGAAACCCTGAGGAACTCCGCTATCTATCGCCATATGCTGGGAAAAGTAGTCTTCTAAGACTACTTCAACCGAACGTTGGCTCAATAAATCCGAGATCCAATTGCAAAGGTCAATGGGAAGCTTACTTAAAAGGCTTGCTTATCACACCCTGTCAAAGGCTTTAGAAATGTCCAAAGATACTGTAAGTGCTTCACCTTGCTTTTCTACGGCCTCGCTCCGTATGTGACAGGCATATATAAGAATATCCCCAGTTGATCGCCCTCGTCGGAATCGGTACTGGCGATCACTGAAGAGGTCGTTGTCTTCAAGGTACGATAGGAGACGGTTGTTGAGTAAACGTTTCATAGTCTTGCAGAGTATGGAAGTGACTGAGATAGGTCTATAGTTGACAGGGTCAGCCCTGCTTCCCTTTTTCGGCACTGGTTGCACGTTTGCAAGCTTCCACGACCTGGGAAGTACACCAGTCTCAAGTGAAAGGCGTGTTTGCTAACGATATTTATCCATAATTGAGGAATTAACGAAAAGCCCCTGGCAAAATCGCTATTGCTTGCACAATACATTTTATATTGCTTTGACCCAGAGGCCTTCCGCTTGCCATTTATAATTATTATATTACGAGAAAGAAAAACAAATTAAGTAAAAGAAAAATAATACAGTCGAGTTGTTGAAATTTGATTTTATGTTATGTACATTCCCTTGCGGAAAGGCAAAAGGTCTTTAGACCATGCAGCTTAGGCTTTTTTGTATTTTTGAAATTTATATAACGGTAACAATAGTAACAATTTTATTCATATTATCCCTACTTTGTTGTTATGTAGTCAGAACACTCTGTTGCTTATTAATGTATGATACTCAAGTGTTGTGTCTTCACCGCACATTAGTGAAATAAAGCGTGTGTGTGGAACGCCAAATCTAGACGCTAGTACATAGATATTTGCTTTATCTTTTGTGGAATAACGGTGTTGAGAGCCGAATACTCAGTGAAGAGATTCAAATGAAGAGCTGCGATCAAGTATAATGGAGACGTGACTTTATATAATAAAGATGAGGTTAGAGATGAGCCACAAAATCATTTTAAACTTTTAAACCATTGGGAAATGACCAACACACCTTGCATGGGTCTTTTCACCAGAGTTGAGAACAATTTGAAGAGGTATCTCGTGGTCGGCATTGCACGGTAAATGCTGCGTCTTAATCTTTCTATCTTTAGTTTATCGCAAAGCTTATTTACTTACCAATACTTTACTGGAAAACTTGTTCCATAATAAAGTAAAAAGTTTGAAATAAACTAAATTATTTTAAAGAACAAAAACCCAACTGCAAAAAAATATCTGAGAAGAATAAACAAGCTTTAATATATAGAGCATTTGAGCAATGTAGAATGATATGTGTTTTGTTCAGTACCAAACTTACTTAGGTGAATTATTAATTATGGTCATTGATATACTTCGGAAGTTGTTCACAAAAATTTAGTTAAATGAATTTATGAAACTTCTGGTGCATAAGAACCATACTCCCGAGTGTTGAGTAAACTGAACATAACATTCCCAAAAATGTTGAGTTTTGAATTTGAAAAACTTGAGTTTAGAATCGGCGATGGCCACTGACGGGGCAGTGGGCGGCGCGTCTCGGCGTGTCGTTAATACTGCTGGGCAATTTTCAAATTTTGGGATAAATGTGATTTTATTAATTATAGGGCTTCAGTTAAAAACGACAATTTAACAAGTTCTCTGAAGTACTCAAAGAGAAATATCTTTATATAAAAATTATGTACAAAGTTAGATATCTTATTCTTAAATAATTCATTTTAAACTTTTATTTTAGGCTGTTTTCAGGATTTCATATGATCGAGTACAGTATATTTTTTTGTAAGACCGTTATTGCGTAGAAAATAATATCTAAATCATTTGAAACAGTATTCCCCGCTTCTCCTCCGGTTCTGCCTCCGGTGACTCCTAAATGCTGTTTTGTTACATTTGTATAGGTCTTCATTTACACGTTTCCCGCCCAATTGTTAATATTGCAATCAATTTTCGTGTTATATTGCAGTACTTACTATTATATAAATTCTTTAATCTCACCGTAACTAGTATCTATTACATATTAATAACAATTTTCATACCTTGCTACACTACTGGCAAATATTTATGAAAACCTACAATTATCATCGTAAATTAATTTTATACTTTGATTCGTGAATGTTTTTGTGGAAAAACAGTTTAAAATGACATAAACGGCCAAATCACACTTTATTTGCATTGGTATTCTGAATTTATTACCTAATTATTAACACGTTTATGCAAGTAGTCAACATATTTCACTTTATTATAACAGTTTTACTACAATATTAACGAGGTACTTAAACATGGATTTTTTTGGAATATTTTAATAAAAGGACACGCATGTAATACAATAACATTTTTGTATATAAAGCGCTCCTTGAAATACTCTTACTAAATATTGCCAAGTAAAGATGGCTAAGATGGCTTCCTTCCTTTCGTCCTTAAAGATCGTTTACTTTTATCTTACTACTTGCCGTTCTAGCGGTTAAAGCCATACCAGACTTTCAGTATGATTTAGAAAAAGCTGAGGAATATTTTGAAGCCTTTATCCAGGAATACGGAAAAGAATACACAAATGAAGATGTAAAGGCAAGGAAGTTCGAAGTATTTAAAGAGTCACTGAAGGAGTATAACAAGAAGAATTTGGAGCAATTGCATGCTAAATTTGGTAAGTCATTATATTTAAATCTCTATCGATACATCAAACCTTGTGTACAAGTAATATATTTTGTGCAACAACTCCGATGTATTTACCTTTTTAAGAGTTGATATTTTTGAAATAATTTTTGGTTATGTTTATCGTATACCGGAGCTGCTCTGTTTTTATCTACCGGAGTTAGACAAAAAACCGGTATTTTTTTTATTTCCTGGAGATTGTAATACAAATACATACATTTAATTATATACATCTACACTACCTCAATATTTTCGTTTTTAACTTTTTCTTTAGGTATTCATGAACACTCAGACTTAACACCGGAAGAGTTACAAAAGATACGAGGCGGTTACCGTCGTATGAGCGGCGGCAATTGCACGAGTCGCGGAGCACCAGAGGTAAACCCACCGGAAGCATTTGACTGGCAACTGCAAGGTTCTGCTGTCACTCCTGTCAAGCAACAATTGTGCGGAGATTGCTATGCCTTCGCTACTACAGGTAAGACAACAGCATCAGCAAGCAAATTCTGCGCATTTGTTCTTGAATGAATCGGATGCTTTTGTTGTGGTTATCTAAGTATTTCGATTTAGCATGCTTCTGTTGTTGGGCACGTGAAATACACGTCTCTCTTATCCCTTTACTCAACCACTTACATACTATAAGTATATTTTCTTATAAAACAACGATATCTAAGTACCTAATCATATTTTGTTATAGCTAATATCGAAAGTCAGTATGCAAAGAAATATGGTAAAATGGTGGATCTCTCAGAACAGCAGATAGTAGACTGTGATCAGAAAAATGGTGGCTGTCACGGAGGTACACTGGAAAACGCTACAACGTAAGTAGTTCTTCATAACATAATGTTATTCTATATAACTA